ACGTGAAAGCCAGGCACAGCCGCCTGCGGGTGGCGTGGTAATGCTGCAGCAGCCACTTGCCGCCTCGCTGGGGGACAGGGACTACTGCAGCAGCTAGTGGGAAGCCACACCTGATCTCTCCTGGGGGGCAGTGCAGGCAGGTGGACTCGGATGCCTGAGCAGTGAACGTCCCAGGCTGGGGAGGAGGTGACGTAGGTGGCAGGTGTGTGACCTGCTGATGGCTAGTCAGGGCGGTTACCTTGTGGGCTGACTGTGGGAGATGTCACCAACACTTTCTTTCTGGCTGTTCCTCCTAGAGACACCTGGCAGTAGGTGTGAGGTGATCTAGCACAGCTCCCACCGTAGTCTGGCTTCCTGGCATCTGATGATGAGTTTGACCCCCTCCAGGGGATGCCTCCTGGACCTGCCCTGGGAAGACATCTTGGTTCCACATATCCTCTGTCATCTGCCACTGCAGCAGCTCCTGAGCCTGCAGAGGGTCAGCAAGTCATTCCAGTCTCTCATCCAGCTGTACCTGGCCAACATGCGCTGCTTTGACTCAAGCCAGGTATTGGATGGCTCTGTGGCTGGGAGACGCAGATGTCCTACTGCTCTGGAGCTAGCAGGGGAGCATCTGGCTTTGTGGGAAGGAGAAACCTTGGGCAGGGAGGCTGGTTTCTGCTCAGGAGCTCGGTTAAGGGTTTGGGTGTCAGACTGGACAGATGGGCTCAGAGAGGAGAGGCAGTGATTCAGGGCCCAGCAATGCAGGTGTCTTTAGCAAGAAGCCTTGGGAGGAGTGAGCCTGGAAGCTCCACCCAGGTCATTATGGGGCACCAGCTGGCAGAAACACAAACCAGCTCCAGAATGGCACAGCCTGTTGGTCCTTAATGAGGCTGTGCAATAGGGTGGGTCTGACAGGAGATAACTCTGTGTCTAGTGTCAAGGGAAAGCTTGTGCAGGCCCTGGGAGAGACTGCCTGGGCCTTGGAAAGGCAGGAGTAGCTGCTGTTCTGTGAGGACAGAGAGTGGTCTACCAGAGCCCAGGTGTGGAGCTCATCACAAGTATGTACATGCAGCAGTGATGGTGGGGGACGGAGAAGCCAGAGCATCTTCTGGTTTGTGGCAATAGCCTTGGCACGAGGGGAGGAGAGCCTGATGTCAGGGTTTGCCCTGGGGTGAGGAGTGGGTGGCTTGGGTCACCTCTGTTGCAGTGGGAGAGAGGAGGGGAGAGTCTCTGTTGGAGATCAGACTGATCTAAAACCTTGGGGGATGCCTCACTCTTCCTGGGTTCCCCACACAGATCGGACCTGCAATCCCAAGAGCTGCGTTTGTTAACCTGCTGAAGGACAACGAAGTACTGCAGCAGCTGGCGCTTCAGAACTGCTCTGACTGGCTGACGGACAGGGAGCTGCTCCCGGTCATCGGGCAGAACCACCACCTGCACCAGATCCAGCTGAAGGGCTGTGCCCAGCTCAGCCGCCACGCGCTGGTGGCCATCTCGCTGAGCTGTCCCAACCTGCGCCGGCTCTCCCTGGCTCACTGCGAGTGGGTGGACAGCCTGTCCCTGCGCAGACTGGCTGATCACTGCAAGGCGCTGGAGGCTGTGGACCTGACAGCCTGTCGCCAGCTGAAGGACGAGGCCATCTGCTACCTGGTGCAGAAGTGCAGCAGGCTCAAGTCTCTGTCGCTGGCTGTCAATGCTAACGTGGGCGACGTGGCAGTCGAGGAGACTGCCAAGTGCTGCCCTGAGCTGGAGCACCTGGACCTCACGGGGTGTCTGCGAGTCAAGAATGACTCCATCAGGTACTGAGCAATGTGGGGAGCTGGGGTGGGGATGGCAGGTGTCTGGGGTGGGGAGATGAAGAGAACCAGAGAGAAAAGTCGGATTTCCTCATGCTGAAAGCAGTGAGAGCTCGGTCTGGAGGAGAAGCCACTAGCAGACCTTTCTGGAGAGGCACTGTGTGCTACTCACAGCAAATTCCTCAGCATGTCATGAGGGTGGGTCTGGGATCTGACCATGTCCCTTGAGATTCTCTCAGACCATCAAGATCCCGCTCCCAAAGGATGGTGTGTGCGTGGCACAGTCATGAGCGCTGGCCTGCTGGGAGTAGAGGAGGTGAATGGTGCACTCAGGAATCCTGGCTTGCAACCCATGGATGCTGTTTCTTGACAGGGTCCTGGCTGAGTACTGTCCCAAGCTGCGCTCGCTGAAGGTGAAGCATTGTCACAACGTGGCTGAGTCCAGCCTAAGCATCCTCCGAAGCCGTGGGGTGGAGCTGGATGTGGAGCCTCCGCTGCAGAGGGCTCTTGTTCTCCTGCAGGACGTGGTTGGCTTCGCCCCTTTCATCAACCTCCAGATCTAGAACTGCAGCTGCTGGGGAGGGGGGGACTGACATGACGGTGGGATCCCAGGAGGATGCCAGAACCGGCTGCTGTGGAGACATGCAGAGAGAGAGGTTGGTCCTGTTGGCAAGGCTGGCCCGAGTGGGGCTCTCGCTTTCCTCTGGGGCTATTTCACAGCCACTGAGTGTTTGTGAGTGGTCTTCTCTGGTGCCTCCAGGGAAAGTAACTCCCTCTGCAGTGGTGTGGAGAGAGCGAGTGACTTGCAGGAACATCATGGTGCTGAATAGGCCTTGGCCAGGCCAGCTAATAGATAGGGTTTATTATTTGTTGTATTTTAAATCTCTAAGTGGCAGCTGTCCAGAGAGCAGGAGAGTGATGGGGACTGTCCCCTGGGGTGGATGTGCAGGGTATGCCATCAGAGCTGTTGGGAACAAACCAGGCCAGCTGGAGCAGAAAGGAGAAAAGTCACCAGCCCTCCTCCTGGGAGAGGGCAGGCCCCTCTGGGCCCCAGGAGGAGGGCAGTGAGCCCAGCTCCAGGTTGTGGCCACTGTCTAGCCTGTCACCCAAAGGCTGGCATGGCCCCGGCCCAGGCAGTGTGTCTGTTCAGGCCTAGGGTGCTGGTTTAGGCTGGTGCAAGGCAGGAGTTGTTTTCAGGGGGATCATGCTCCTAACTGCAGTTTCACTGACAGAAAGCCAGCAAACCTAGCTGTGCTGTCACTGAACACACTTGGTCATTGCCATTTGTTTCTTCCAGCTACTGACTTAACACTGAGTAGCACCCCGGCCTGCTACTATATCCTGTTCCTGTCATGTGGCTGGAGCTTTGGCACTCGACCTCGGTGAGAAATGGCAGGAGCCCTGGCTGTGCTGTCAGCTGGAGTTTATAGAGTGCTGCAGGTTGTGTTGGCAGGGAGAACCTAGCTGTGGTCTGGAGTTCAGCCTCATCCCTTGTATCTGCTAGGTTAACCAAACAGCAGCTGCATCTTGTGGTGAATGTGGTGAAGAGTAATTAGGGGAAGAGAGGATGACCCTGCTCCTGTCTCTGACCCCAAGAGGGATTGGAGGCAACATCCTTAAAGCACGTGTATGCTCTGGCTGAACTACACACCAACTCGCATTATCTTTATTAACACTGGCACTCAATTTAAAGCAACAGTGCACACAGACTTGTAAAAAGCTTGCTGCAAAAGCACAAGCCACATCTTAGATCTAAAAATGTCCCATGCAAGGAATAGCAGAGAATGCTCAGGCCTCGGAGAGCCACTGCGGTGTGCCCCTGGAGGCAGAGGGACAGCTACACAAGGAGAAGGCTCCTCCTCGTCAGCTGGGTTAGTTGAGGAAGCTGAAAGCGGTGTGCTGGCTCCCAGGTTAGTTCCAGTTAGTGGCAGGTGGAGGAGTCCCCTCGTCCCTAGTGCCACATGTCCATCCTGCCATGCCTGGCTGGCGAGGTGGAGGCTGAAGAGCAGCAAGACCTGGCTGTCAGTGGAACTTGTACTTCCTGGCTGGTTTGAGGCTGATGTAGGTTCTCTTCATCTCCTCGCTCTCGGGCTTCTTGATGTCTTTGTACCTCTCTCCCTTTGTACTCACCACCTGGTTATCGATATAGCGGATCAACTTCTTGGGAGCCTGGAGAGGAAAGACATTAACATCAAGTGGACAGCCAGCCACACTGCTAGGGAAAGGGAGGGGACAAGCAGAAGCAGAGCTGTGCTCTGGGGGGCGGGGGAGGGAGTGCAAGAAGACTGGTGTGGGCTGCTTTACCCATCCTTTGTGTTGAGAATCTTGGCCAAAACTGATAAGGAGATGGGAGGAGCAGGAGCCATGCTAGTCAGGAATAGTAGGAACTGACAGACCCTGCAGCACCTTAAGCTAAGCTCATCCTCCCCCTTTTCTGATCTGCAGCTCTGTGAATGCTCCTGCCTTTATAGCCTGCCCCCTTTGCTTTTTGGACTTGCAGCCTGATTTTTAAACCTTGTAGCCAAGGGCCATTGAAACTGCTGTTGAGCCGGGACTGCTGTTCTTACCTCTTTGGGTGGAGCTGGCCGATGTGTTTTCTGGTCATCTGCACTATCCACCATCATGTACCTGGAACACGAGAAGCATTTAGTGAGCACTGGAACATGCATTGCCAGGGGCTATTCACAACCTATGCCCTTTTTTCCCTGGCTGGTTTGTGGCTGTGCAACGTGTCCTACTTGCCTAGATTGCAGCCAGGAGCACTTAACATTCCCCTCTGGATGTAACGAGCAAGAAGAGGGTCATCCTTCTGGTAAAAATCCAGCAGGATTCTCCTGGACTAGCATCCCTGGCCATATGTGAAGGGTGTTGAAAGCTCAGGCTGTTGAGAATGCTGATAGCCCCGGGGAAGCGAGAGAGGTGCTGAGGTCTGGTGTGCTCTGCTGCTGGACTCGCTTTGCTCCTTCTCAGCTCAAGTGATGGCAGTGAGACAGAGGTGAGATTGACAGGACCAAGCTGGCTGCTTCTGCCCTGAAGAGATGGTGTTCCTTTCACATTCCACCTGCTACTTGACTAGGAAACAGGTCTGTGCTGAAAGCAACTTTGCAAAAGCACCACTTCATTCCCTGCGTCAAAGATCAGGGCCCAAGCATTTGCTTGCTGTACTGCTGAGTAACTTAAGACCGTGGCGCTGCTTTAGCAGGCGGACAGCACAACCGACTGTGACTTCTCCCTCAGTAGTTAGTATAGCTGCACTTGTGTGTCTTCAGCTATGGTGATCTGCTCTCTGTACCTGTGCTTGAGTGATGTTTAAAGTACAGGATGTTACCAAAATGTCATTAAAGTGGAGTTCCCAGAAACGTAACTAGCAGTTGGTGCTTTTCTGTTCCCCTGCGTGTTACTCTGAAACAAGCCTGCACAGGAGACAGGCAAGGACGAGGATTGTTAATTCTGTCTGGATGCTGTTCTGCCTTACTTTATCCTCCCTAGCCCGTCGGCTGTTTATTCTGTCACTGGGGAGGATGTGAAGTGGTGGAAAAGCTATGTCTGGATAGACACATGGAATCCGCATGCCCGCAAGAGCATATTCATGAAAGCTGAGATCTTAAGATGGATCGATGAAACCACAGTGTGGGTTCTCCTATTGAGAATTAAATGCTTTTGGAAATGAATAAAGGCAAACCAATCTAAAGCCATTTTCATTCCCAAGAAGTCCACAGGGGGACTTCAGAGAGGATTCTTTAAATGCATTTAATTCACACCTTCAGCAACGGAAATTTAATCTTCCCAGTGTTGCTGTACAGGCAGTCTCTTAAGGATATCTTTAGCCTTGTTTGGACTGTCTCCAAGGAACCAGGTATGAATGAGTTGCTGTAGTTCTACGAGTCACCATGTGCTACCTGAGCTGCAGCACGATGTTTGTGCCTTGAACCTTTAACCAGAACCTCAGCTGAGAGTACTGTGACTTGCAGTATACCTGCAGAGCCTGAAATCTCAAACACAGCCAGTGCTGTGACCGAGCAGGTGCAGGTAACCTGTTTCTGTGCCAGAGCTCTAAAAGAAACCTAAACCTGTTTTTTTTTTCCACCTAATAATTACATTGGTACTTAGATGTGTTCAGCTATACCCAAATCAGTTTCACAGCATCCTTTCTAAGCATTGTACACCCCAAGTTCTTTATAGACCACACTGTAATTCTGACCTTCCTCAAACTGCCACTTCGCTTGATGGGAGAATAAGGGGCTCTTTGCTGCTGGGTACTTACTTCTGTAGGATAACCTGTTTTAGTTCCTCATGGTTGGGCGCTCTGCGGGGCCGCACCAGTTCCTGGGAGGAGACAAGGCAGGCATGTGAGGAGCACAACACTGGAATGTACAGCTTCCCCCCTGCTAGCCTGTTAAGCCCAGCTGCTGGTGGAAGACTGCAGCTGGGTTGCTGGCTCAGCTGTGGGCACAGCCTGTACTTGGAAAGCCAAGGGGGAAGAGGGGCTGTTCCTCTGGTGATTCCCCCTGGCTCATGGTGCGCTGCAGCTGAAGCTTCTGCTCACAGCAGACAGCTGGGACGCCAGTGCATCCCTGAGCTCTGTGCTGCTCCCTGGTCTGCTGCCACCCAGCTCAGAGTACAGTACCTTCACACTCGCACCTGCTGGGCCAACTTCCACCTTCTCCTCCACAATTAACTGCACTGCCTCCTCCAAGTTCCCCAAGGCCATGGCAAGTGCCTTCTCTGCCTGGCTGACAGTGCAGGCCGGGAACATCTCCAGTAGCAGCTCCACCCCATCCTTCAGGTCATCGCCTTCCTAGTTGGAGCGACAGAGACAGACGTAAGCTGGGGATGTAGTAAGGAGGGGGCTATTGAAAAGGGCCTCTCTGGTTTGGCATTAAGTGAGAAAATTCAGTTTGCCCTTAGCTGAACGCTCACTCTTCTCGCAAGTGTGACTAAATCCCATTCCTGAAGCTAACGGGATTGTATCTTTGCAAGGACAAAGCATCACCCTTCCTTAACCTCTTCCCCCTGTATTTCAACCTTCTTTAAAGCAGGGCTGCTGTGAACTGGCTCATCTGCGTGGCCATGCTAAGTGTCTCCTCAGGAGCAAGCTTTCTGGATGTTGGGTGCGAATGCTCGAACTCCCCCTCACCTTGTGAAGTTACATGTGCTGTGGTCAGAGGGGGAAGGGACTGCTAAACAGTGACCCGTGGCTACATCAGAAGGAAGCGCAGCAGCAGCGTTTGCTAGAAGGCTGTGGACACAGAATAACTGAGCTGCAGAGCAGCATGAGCTCAGTACTGGAGAAACAGCAGGCAGAGTGTAGGGGAAGGGGGGGTGGGTCTGGCAGGTGCTGCAATGGCTGTAGCGTGGGCCATGCTGAATGGTGCTGCAGGATCAGGACCGCTGGACCAGTGACTCAATGCGGTATAGGTCAGTAGGTGCACAGCACAGGTCATGGAGGGTGGGACCGCCGTCTTTGGAACTGACACCCAGACGTGACTGCTTCCTGTGCAGATACTGCGTGATAGCTGGGGAGAGAAATGGTGATCCGGCTCAAAATGTGGAATGAGGCTAGGGGAGCAGGATGAAGTGGGATGGAGCCCAGCTAGTACTGCAGAGGTGTCCCTGCGGTGCTGCTGTAGGACCTCCGAGG